ATGGGCCAGGCTGTAACTTCCTGTTCTCTGCGCCAACCAAGGAACGTCTACACTGGGTCAAGCCAACCGATAACCCCCCTGCTGAGAGGGGGGCAGTGCTCTCTCTCGGGGTACAAGCCTCCCGCAGGTGTCCCATTCAGGTGGGCTCGCTGCAGGGAACGTACGGCATGACGCAGGGGTGCTGACGGCTCCGAGGTTCAGTTCCAGGAGGTCGAGGAAGCCAAGGGGGAAGGAGGGAGGGAGACCCTAAGGGGTCCAGCCCACTGAGGGGTCCTCCCAGGGGGACCTGTGGCTCCGTGACAGAGGGATCCTTGCTCTGATCCAGGCTGCGTGGGGAGGGGAGTGCTTGGCCCCAGACTGGCGGGAATGCCAGGAACGGGACTGAGGGGCACTCACCTGGCGCAGGTCCTGCAGGGCGGCGCTCAGCCGCTCGCTCTCGGCACCCGCGTTGCTCAGCTGGCACCGCAGCTGCCTCAGCTCCCCCTGCTGTTCCTCGAGGCGGGCTGCCAGCTGGGCCTCCTTGGCCGCAGCCTCGCGCACCAGGTTCTCCTCCCGGTTCTCCCCGGCCACCGCTGCCCGCTTGTGGCTGCTGTGGCACTCAGCCAGGGCCTGCCAGCCGGAGGGCAGAGAGAGGTGATGGGTGAGGAGGTGTCAGCCACGCTACGTGTTCGGCAGAACGCCTAGTGCAATGGGCACACACACAGGGCTTCCCCAGCAGTGCCCAGGCTGACCCCGATCTGGTACACACACAGGGCGCTGGGGCAGGGGATGTGGGGAGCTCCCCCCAGCAGTGCCCAGGCTGACCCCGATCTGGGCACACACACAGGGCACTGGGGCAGGGGATGTGGGGGGCTCTCCCTAGTAGTAACCGGGCTGACCCTGTTCTGTGCCTGCCCCCACTTACCTCCTTCATTTGGGTCAGCTCTGAGCTCAGCCTGTCCAACTGCCCCTCCAGCTCCCCGCAGCGCTGCTTGAGCTCCCCGTTCTCCTCCAGCACCGCCAGCCCGTACTGGGCCGCCTGGACCTTCTCCTGCGTTGCCTCCTGCAGCTCGGCCGCCAGGCGCCCCACCTCCGCCTGCAGCTGGGCCAGGTCTGCGGGCGCTTGCGCCAGCTCCATGGTGGGCACCGGGGGGCAGGTCTGGGGCCCGGCAGGGGGCAGCGGGCATGCCTGCGGGCAGGGAGGAGTAAAAGCGATAACTTC